CTCGATCCCAGGATCCTGGGATCATGACCTGAGCCAAAGGCAGATGCTTAATGACTGAGCCACCCAGGCGCCCCAGCTGCATCCCTTTTTATGGCTCAGTAACGTGCCACGTGTGCGGAGACCACACTTTGTTTCTCCACTCACCAGCCAGTGGACACTGGGGTAGTTTCCACCTTGGGGCTGTCACAAAGTCGTGCTGCAAGGAATGTTTGTGCGAGAGTTTTTCCGTGAACATGTTTCCCATTCCCTTGGGTGGGTAAGCAGGGATGGACTAGGCGGCTCCCACGGTCACCGCGTGCTGTCCTGTTTGACCGCCTCACTGGCCACGCGTTAGGATCCCTGTTTCTCCACATGCTCGACAGCACTTACCGTCTGTCAGTTGGCCACAGGCCAACCTCGCAGGTGGCACGCGTGGTCTTGGCGGTAGCTGGGCTGAGCTCCTGCTCGTGTGCTCGCTGACCACGCGTGTGTCTCTGGGGGCGTGACTGTTCTCATCCTCTGCCTCTTCCCTCAGGAACCCTTGACCTGAGACAGGACCAGCGGGGCCACGGCCTCACCGTAGAGGCGCCAGGGACACTTACCTATCTGCTTTCTGTTCTGACCGAAGGGCTGGACGTGACTGGGCGGAGCACAGTCAGAGGCTAGAAGAGCATCCGGAGCGTGCGTGGCCAGGCTCAGTGGACACAGGCACGGCGGGCCGGGAGCATGCGCGGTGGCAAGGTATGGGCTGACTCTTGCCAGGAGCTGAAGGAGGGCCGCACGTTTTCAGGACAGTCCAGGGGCCGGTCCCCTCTGGCATTTGCAGAGGCTTCCAGGAGCTTTCAAGAGGGGAGTGTGTGCAGACTCTTTCCTTTCTTCCAGGTGGTGAGAGGGGCCTATCTGGGCCCTCGGGGCCAGGACACATGGCAAATCGGGGCGGGATGTCGGGGTAAGGAGTTTCGTCCCTGGATAAAATTAATTTGTTCCTGCCCCTCCTTTCCTCTCCCTTTTTTGCGTGTCTGACCAACTTGCTGGGGTGACTGTTTTGAAAACAAGCCCCCAAAGTGGCTCTTGGCAGCTTCTGCAAGTCGCACTCCTCAGTTACCCGGAATGCAGTCTGGGATTATGATTTTTCTCACCTGGAAAAAGCCAAACAGGTCTAAAGGCTGCAGAGCCGTATGCTGCCCCACATAAGGAAGAAAATGTGAAGCCCTTCAAGGGGACAAAACGTGTGCCTTTGTTCCTAGGCGAGGCGGCTTTGCACAAGGCGGGCATTCCCAGGGTCACATGGTGCCCGGTGGCGGACTGGAAGGTGGAGGACTGGCCAGCCAGGACCGGGGCAGCAGAGTCCCGCACCCCCACCCCCACCCGTACCCCCACTTCACCCGTCGCTACTAAACCCCACTCACCCCGAGTGTCCAGGTAGGCAGATGCACTGTTGAATAAGCTCAGCCGGAGTTACCTTGAACTTGTGGAACCTTTTAAGAAACAAAAGCAAATCCTGCCACCATGTTGTAGCTCAAAACAATGTGAATTCACTTTTTTTTTTTTAAATAAACGTGTTCTTCTCTGCCATTTTTAAGACAACATTTCTGTTAACGAGGCATTCCATTTTCCATTAATAAAAGTTTATGGTTCTCACTCGTGTGTGTTGCAGTGATTGCAGAGCAGAGGGCGGTGCCCACCTCAGCAGCACCCTTGTGCTTGTGGGTCGAGGCTGTCAGCCCGTCTGAGCGAGTCCTCCCAACAGCCCGGCGCACTCCCCTTCTCACAGATGAGGAAATGGGTCACAGGGCTTGCAGTAGGTGGCAGGGCTGGGATCCGAATTAGAAATTCTTAATTGGAGGAGGGGGGCTTGCATGGTGGGGGCCTCAGACCAATCACTTCACCCCTTATGCTAGCGGGCCTGGGGAGGGGGGCATCTGGTGATGGTGTGCGGGGTTTGGGGGTCTGGCTGAGGGCAGGCCCTGTTTGGTGTGGGACTGGTGGTGACGGATTCCCCCCATTTTTCTGGAAATTAATTACAAATTAATATGTCATTTCCTCATGTGTGATTATAAAGGATCCTAATTTTCCTCGTTAAAGTCTGGCACACAAGGCACCTGGCTGGCCCTGAGTGCTGAGCGGGAGCCCTCCAGTCCAGGCCCCTCCAGTGTGACCCCACAGTGAAGTGCTTCTCCCACAGAACAGCTGAGCAGCTGCCAACAGGGAGCTTGGGTGACCGCAGGCCCATTGGGGCATCCAAGGGCCAAGTTTGTGTCCCACAAATCCTGGCCCTGATCCGGAGTGGGGAGAGTTAATTCCCCCAGTGTCCCTGCTGGGAACCTGGATTCCCTCCCTCCAGAACTAGGACAGCCACCCCACAGGCTACCAAACAATTGCCAATTCTCCTGGAGTAGCCTGTGTTCCCGCTGGGGTGTTTAGTTTTAAAAGAGCAATCTGAAAATCTTCCCCAGCTTGCCGTGGAAGCCTGAGCATTAAAGGCAGGTCGGCTCTGGCTCTTGGTGTCCTCTTCGAATTGCGGCAAGTAAATACCTCGTGAGCTCCCCGCACCACGGGGGCTTTTGGAGTCATTTTCCGGTGACAGGTTGACGGGATGCTGTCTCCATGGTGCCTCCTACATGGGGCCCGTCTCCTCCGCAAGCCAGAGTCTGGAAATTGGGGTCTGGGCTCACCCACATTGGGTGATAAAAGCCATAATCAGGGCACCTGGGTGGCTCAGTTGGTTAAGCGACTGCCTTCGGCTCAGGTCATGATCCTGGAGTCCCGGGATCGAGTC